TTGATTTAGACTTTGATTATTACTTCATACTTTTTCATGAATAGATAATTGCATAATAACCTGTTTATGAGCGTATTCCATTGAAACTGCACACGCACCGAAAACCAAGCATAAAGAGCTTGCGTTGAATTATACTAGCAATGTTGTATAGCACAAGCAAGACTCGAAAAAGAGGAAAGCGGGAACATCTTTTGAAATTGGCTTTATATGTTCTGGATTATTCCAAGAAAAAAAACTTCTGCTGGTAGATTTCTTAATTTAAAATAATTCAAATAAATGTAAAATTAATTAAGTGAAAGTCTCTATGCCTTGCTACTGATTCAGTCTTCAGACCATCTCTACTGCAGCATTGAAAGTGTTTTGTAACAGAGATCTGAAAACTCTGAAGCAGGGGGAGCATAATTTTAAACTACATATCATCTCTACGTTATGGATATAAATTATCGTATGCTCAGGTCACAAATTTTGTGAAACAGCGGAGTTTTCTCGAATGAAACTCATGAGACAACTTTTCAAACCAAGAAAATCACCTTTAGAGTTGCTCCCAATTGGAAGGCAATGGAACAATGAAGTAGCATAGTATCTCGCAGCTACAGCTCCATCTTCTTTTTTGTCTTGAAATATGTTGGAAGTTCCATATATCTGCAATAAACTAGCTTCCCTTACTGCTGACAGCTGAAGGTCAACTCTACCTCTATCATTCCAAAAACGCCTTCCGCTTTGAGTACCCGATGAATTTCCTGCAGGCACTGGAAAGATGTCGATTAATTGCAAAAACACAACATAGAATCTTAACGTCGTTGAATGAAGGGACCAGTGGAAAATAATTTGCACAAAATAAAAAAGTTAATTTCACAACAAAGTTTTTATGAAGATGTTCGATTGAAAAAGCGTATCATGAGTCACACAGTTATCACAGTCGACCTTATAACGCTATTTATGGGAAAAATATGTCAACTTGCCAGATCTGGTCTCATCTGATCATGACATGCGTCAAAAATTATGACAAGGTCAAATTTGCTCGTCCAGTCGGGGTCCAACTTCGAACCATTCATTTGAATAAACTTTAAGTTGTCGTGTTTGTGAATACTGTAATTTCTAGAGTAGATAGCGATAGAAGAACAGGATTTTCATCTGTT